TTCCAGGGCCGTTCCTCAGCGGACGTCGCCGCCGCGGCCGCCGCCGCCGCCGCTGCTGGCTTCGCGGCCGCCGGCGGGCAGGAGGCGTCCGGCGCGCTGCCGGGCACGAGCCCGCTGTCGGGGGGCCCAGATTTCGGGGCCTTTGAAAGCAGCTTTGGGCGCGGCGGCGCGGGCGGCTGGCCCAGCTAGCTTGCGGCCCATGCCACGCGCAGCCCCAGACGGCCGCGGGGCTGCTGCCGAAGGGCCTGTGATCGCCCAGCCTGGGCGCACAACTCCCACACGTCCACGTCCGGGCTGCGCTTGCGCCCGTTTTCCTGCCTGTTCTACGCCGGCAAAAGCGGGCGTCCGCGCATGCAGTGGCTGCACGCGGCGCACCGCGTGAGATTGGTCCCGATTGGGTCCGCGGAACTTGATTGCCGCGATTGCGGAAGGCTGCGATTGCGGGAGGCCGCCAGGCGCTTACCGCCCCCGTGCGCAGCCGTGCCCTGCCTTCCACGCGACAGCTCGGGCAGGGCAGCCGCTGGCGCGCCTGCGCCAGCGCAGGGGCTCCTCTCTGTGCTGTGATGGTGCGGGCCAGCACTGCTTTGCGCAACCGTCGTCGCGCTGTCCTTGCGTCGCTGCTCGGCGTGGCCGATCGTGGGCGCGCGTTTTGGATGCCGCGCGTGGGCGCTTTGCACTGGGTGCGTCCACCGTCTTGTCAGCACCCTATGACTGATTGTGCAAGCCAGTCGGCGCACTCGCCCAGCTTGCAGCCCAACTTGACTATGCTGCTGCGGGCGGCACCCCTTGTTGGGGTCATCGTCCGTGTTGTGCCCGCCCTGCGCTTCGGCTGGCTGCCTGTTGCGACTGCTCAGCAGTGGCGCGCACGGCAGCGGGTGGGCGAGTGTACCAACAGCCTCACCTTCTTTGAGGGGTCGGCCCCCGAGCGACCCAGTAGGTTTTGCTGAAGATTCACACATGCACACGCGCGGATACAAACACCAGATCCCAGGTTTTTCCCTCACAACAGGCGCTGTGGCCTGTGGCGCACCCGCGTCAAGAAGCCCAGCTTTTGGCCCCTTCCCCCACGCACAGACACACACACACACACACACACACACACACACACACACACACACACACACACACACACTCGCGCGCACCCACGCCATTTGCCGCGCCGCACATCGGTCGGCGTGACACGCTTTCTCTTGACTAGCCGCGGCTCTACACCGGGCACGCCGGTTTGATGCGCAGGCACGACAGCGCACGCAGGCCCTTGCACGTAGCCACACACGCCACAGAAGAGAGCAGAACTCCTGACTGCACTTGCTGACCCACCGGGATTCTGGCCGGCCCCATGACAAGCCCATGGGGGCCCCAGGGAGGGCGCGTGTGGCCTCGCTGCGCCAGGGCGCGGAACACGACCCCCGGGACCCAGGGCGGGGCCGGCACGGGTAAGGGAGGGGGCGCGGGCCGGCCCACACACCCCGGTCGCGCGCTCGCCGCAACGGCTGCATCCGCTGACCCGTGTGCGCCGTGCGCCGCATGCGCCCCCCTCCCGTGTCAACCCACGGGCTGCTCACCTTCGTTTGATTCACCCTGTGCTGGCCTCTGCGGCGCTTGGAGGCGGCGATTTGATTCAACAGCGAGCGGACGTACAGCATACCGTTGCCACGCTTTCATGCCGCTGACTCATGACTGGAAGAAATAGGGCCGGTGTGGCGCGCGTGTTAGCACAGCACACAAGAACTGTTCTCTGCACACATACGCACCGCTGCGCCCCTGAGCAGCCGGTGCGGCACCTCGCACCTGCCTTGACCTCAAACACTGCGGGTGTCAGGCTCGCGCAAAGCTCGTGCCACTGCCAAGTCCCATGCACACACAGCATGTTGCAGCGCAGCACCGCCGGCGCCCCACCTGCACCTATTTGGTTACAAGCATGTGTGTTTCACTCACAGGGGTAGTCTCATTGTCTACCAGCCTGCTAGGGCCTCTTTTGCCCGCACGCCCATCGTGTGAGGCACAATGCCCAGCAGATGCACGGCGATGGCTGCTCTGTTCCCTGCACTCACTCCGTCTAGCTCGCAGGATGCATAAATCCATTGGCTTGCCCACTCCCTGACCGGCACACACGACTGCTTACGCAACCGCAGACAGGCAGCAGACTGATACACCCTGTCCTACTTGGCACGTGTCGCACCCCGCTGCACTTCACTCCCCCCTCGCCCCAACGAGAGACCGAGTTTGATGGACAACTCAGCAATTCGATGCAGCGCCCCCAATGACTCACATCCACTAGTTGTGTGTAGGCCTTTCTGTGGACAGACCGTCCGACGGATTTGTAATGGACACATCTTCACACACTCGTGGCGCCGAGTTGGCTCAGCCTGCATGCTCAAAGGTGTTCCAGATGACAATTTCCAGCGCAGATGTTCCAATCACCACGGAGGCGTCTACCTTACCGTATGGTGACGGACAAGTTTTGACTGCACAAACTGCACGGAGCGGGCCATGCTCATGTCTAGTGGTGAGAGGCAGCGGCTTGGGCAGCGGTGGGGTTGGAAACCTATTGGCAAGGGTGTTGCGAGCATCACATGCTGGGGTGGGATTTTCTTTGCAGGATGAGCGAGGCTGATTACGCATGCATATCAGGCACAGTTTGGCTAGCGCTTTGCGCTTGGAAGGATGCTGATGCACTGTGCGGGCCCGCCTCTGGCCCTCTAGTCGTCGGGCCGGGTGCCAAGCGAGGGTTGCAAGTGCTGCAGGCAGTTATGCATGGCGGTGGGTGTGCATGCCCGCCGGCAGACAGGCCGCATTTGCAATGATACGCAACTCATTGAGTTAAGGATGAATTTCGGGCCTGCAGCCGATGTGGTCGGTGGCCCCACGGGGATGCGCCTGGCCCCAACGCATGGTCCCTGTGCTGGAGCCAACCCGTAGGCGAGTCCTGGTTCTTCACAAGCATAACAATTAACGGTTTCACAGCAGGTTTTGCTTTGTATCATCATAAAGCGACAGGAAACCTTCATTCAGAAAAGCAAACCCTCCGAAGAAAAGCAACGCGCAGCGATAGGCCCGCTCCGCACGAGCTCGCTTCTACCCGGTGAACAAGTCGTGGATTAATCACCATGAACAAAACCACGATCCCGGCCGCGCAGCGGGCCAACCTGCCCGTGACGACACGCGCGGCACGCCGCGCTGTGCGCGCACACACCGCGTCGATCCCAACGGCTGTGGAGCAGGCGGAGGGCACGAAGGCACCGCACTCGGGCCTCAAGCACCTGTCTGAGGATGCCAAGCAGCGCGCCGTGGCCGCGACGTGCGTGTCTGTGGGTGTTTGACCATTCCCGCCCGTTTTGTCGTCCTCGCGCCCTGACTTCGGCGAAAAGCCCACCTGCTGCCTTTGGACGCATGAAATTGTTGGCATGACCATTTTTTGCTGCCTTTGGACGCATGAAATTGTTGGCATGATCATTTTTTGACATGCTGGCACGCAAGCATCACAACAGGACCCAGCAAGCCCCCCTCTGATCCGCGCCTGCGGCGTTGTCGCAGCACCCGGGCCCCCTCACACAACCCCTGCCTGCTTGGCCCCCTGATCTCCAGCAAGAACAAGTTTGAAAAGGTCAAGGTGGAGAAGTGCGGCTCGAACCTCTGGACCGAGGTCCATGAGCTGGCGGCCAAGCTCAGGTGCGCGCTTGGGCCCACACTGCGCGCACGGCGCGGTTGCTTTTGGGCCCGAGAAGCATGCGCCACGCCCGGCCGGCCCCCTCAACAACGGCCGCACGCCCTGGTGAGGGCCTGGAGGGAGGCCCTCATCATGGCACTGCAGCTCCGACCGCATGCGAGCTCCCCGCACTCCCCGCATGGCTGCGTGCCCGCGCCATGCGGCGCGGACGGCCCGCAGCCGCCCCCCCCCCCCCCCCCCCC